TAGGGAAATACATATGGGGGCGGGGAAGAGAGAGAGACAAACACAAGAGTGGAGGAAGACTAGAAAGTAATAGTGAGGAACACTTTTCTCAGTGACTAACTGTCCTTATAAGCTTAAGCAAGTTCATAAAAATAGTATTCTGTCACCAAGCCCTGGGAAATGACCTGCAGCATCATGGAGCTGAGGAATGCATCCTAAATGTATACAGAGAATTTAAGGCAAAGACTGAAAATGGAATTAGATGCTTGCCACAGAATGCATTTGGCAGTGGTGACTTCCCCAACACCACCACTTTCCTAACAGCTCAGGGACAATAAACATGAAATTTACTTTTCTAGTTCTTTCCTGATCATGTCCACAGAAATAGATCTATGACTGGGGGAAGACAAAAAAAAAATAGAAAAAAAAACCTAAAAGTGCTACAGATAGAATACAGGTGGTTAGGGCTGGGAAGTGAAGAGGTGAAAACTGCTCCTTCCCAAAGCAGACCTACAGTTTGAGAATAAGAAACAGTACAGACCTACTTTACTCAGGAAGGGGGGGGGGGGAAATGACAACCCACACACTTTGATCCTGGTAAGAGTCTGGTAATTCACTGGGAAGTCGCAGTTTTAACAATATTGAAAAGCCTTCTCATAGTAGAAGCCCTGAATTTTGTCTCCTACGTGTTTTCAAACATACCCACAACAGCACACAAAAGAAACCTGGTATCTAGAGCAAGTTTAAATGCACACTGTTCTGAGAACAGGCTATGTAGTTTGTGCCCTTTCCTTGCTAGTTTCTCCAATTCTGAGAAGATGCTTTTGTCAGATATCCTTGTAGCTCTGCTTGTCTGCAATAAAACAACTTTGGCTGCCAGGTTCTGCAGTCATTTCACAAATGGCACAATGTTTATGAGACACAGCAAAGTGCACATCTCTTAAGAGCATCTGTGAGTTAGTGTTCTCTTTCAGCATGAAAAAAAGGATATAATAAATACACTAGCCGTACTCTTTTATAGCAGTCCTCTCAGACACTTGTGTTCAAATCTCACCGGATTCAAAAGCCATATCTAAGAAGAGGGACCCAGGAACGTTTGCCAAACACAGAAAGCCTTCTATCCCTGACCACCCTGTCAGAAGATGACCCGAGTACACAAAAGTCCCCCTCTCTCCCTGGGAATGAAGCCCTGGCTGAGGGCTGGAGCAGGACAAAGAGTTCTGCAGAGCTCATGTATCCTATAACCAATATAATGCCAATGAGAATTAAACACATTGAGTGCGTTATCTCTAAATAATGAAATATGCATTGCTATGGTAAAAGAAAATTAAATGGAATCTCTAACAAAGGGCTTATAACCAGATTTAGGAGATACAATAATCCATTTAGAGCTCAGAAAACTACATTCTAAGGGGAAAGAACAATAAACTAATAAAAGGTAAATGTACATATTTTTGCTGTATTTTTACCATTCAAAATAAGACATTAACTCAATTTCATAACCATATTATCATCTGTATGTCCTTAGAATATAAAAGCACAAAAAATAGTCAAAGGGGTTTTCAGCTCAGAAATACAGGGCAGAAGGATAAATCATCTAGATGCCACCTTGCTGGTCAAATAATGCAGCCGGCCCAAACTTATTCACAATTCTTTCCTCAGAAATACATTAACTCTCCTTAGTAAATCCACCTTTAAACAAAAAGGCTTTTGCTATTGGCCCCAAGTGTCACATACCTCTTTCTCCCTCCTTCTAAGAGGTCATTTCTCCATTAACATCACATAGGACAGCAACATATGAACATGGGAGGCAGAAAAGAAGCATGAATGAGTTTTGTCCAACCTATCATCTTTTCTGCTCATGGAAAGATCTTAAAATGTACTATAAGGTAACTCATGAGCTCATGAATGGATCATGAGCCACGACACGTCGGTTCCAGCAGCATACATACCATTCTAATCATTCAAAGGTTGAAGGTTTACAACTGACCATGTTTAGAACGCATCTGGAAAGGAAGAAGTGGCATCAAGGGGACTGATCATCTTTATTATGCAACAAAGCGACAAAAAGAAAATTAAATACTTTAATAAGAGAAAAAATAGAAGGTACAACTCAAACATAATATACCATATTGAAACCATATACAATGCAACGTGCACATGAAAACATTGTTAAACAGCAATCTTCTAGTAAAGATTGCATGTTTGAAGTACAAGCATCACCCATCACAATTACACAGCTTTTTGTGTACATCTGAGTCTCAGAGAGAAAGATCATGATCAGCAGCAGCATATTTAAATAGATTGTTTCATTTTCATTAAATGCTTACCTACTGAATGTATTGGATGCACAATCTCTTAATATTAAAAGTATAAAATCTTAAGCAAGGCAGCGCCTGCCAATACAGATTTTAACATATGCAAATAAAGAGGATAAACATTTTACAAGGGGTTTTTTTACGTTGCATTTATACACATTTCTTGCTTTAAAATGTGTATTCAAGTCTATCAATATTAAAACATGACTAAAATGCTCAGCAACTACATGTCAAATGACAACTAATTATTGCTATAGAAAAATCTATTTCCCAGAGTTTTAAAATAGATTTAATTTCATTTGCAATTCTTAGGATATGCCCAAGTAGTAGAAATAACTAGTTCCAGTTTCCATGAGGCATTCTGAATCTGTATTGGCTGTAGGCATTTATTGCCAGATCATATAAATATTTTATTGAATCTAAAAAAGTCAACTAAACTTACATATAACTATTAAAATTCCTTAGGAAATGTATGCAGTAATAAAATCACCATGGTATGCATTCTTATTTTAAAAAGCTAAAACTTTAGCATCAGGCTACCTTGAAATTCCTTTCTGTCTAAGGGCACTATTTCATAGTTGGCTTTATAGAGGCAAAGAGAAAGTGAAAAATCCAAACAATCTTTTCCATTGGATCAGTGAACCACTCCAAATCAGTATGTGGTCACACAAGCGCTAGAGCTGACAGATGAGTGAGAATATGCAGACAATGAGTATGGGGAGCAAATAGGGAAGTTGGAATACAAGATCAAAGTGTGGCCTGCTGCCAAAATACCGTAAGCCAGTAGCAAAATGCAAGACATGTTAAGTTGTTATAAAAAGGATATAACCTTTAGACATTTCTGAAATAGCCAGCTTTCTCTGTATTTTAGCCAGCTGTGCCTTCAGTAATGTTTTACACTCTTAAAAAATAGAACATAGAAATGTCAAGTTACAGTCTTTAGTGTTTTAGTTCCAACACTCAACATACTAGAACTAAGATTCAGTTCTGAAACCCATTACATTGCAGAATAAGGCATTTCATCCTCACCAGTTTTGAAATATGAAATATCCAAGAATTTAATGAATAATCAAAACCTTTATTTGGAGAGCAAATGGGAGCCAGGGCACAAGAAGCAGATTGTACTTCGGCTGCACAACTGATATTATTACACATAAATCACCAACTAGGCTAGGAAAATTACTGGGGATGTTCTCCACCGTGCATACAACTCCCATTAAGAACAGTAGTTTGACAATGGGCAATGGCAACACAGGATGAAAGTCAGTCCTTAAGAAGATATACGTTCAGAACAGTCTCTAGTTAAACCTCCAAAATATAAGCTGTGCAGCTTGCTTTCCCCTACTCCCCATTAGTACTAAATAAAAGACCTTAAAGTTCTTTTTAAAATACATTTTCCATTGAAATTCAAAATTGCATTATTGCTCTGTTTTCTCTGATTTTAATGATGGTCTTGCTGGGAATGTGAAAATCTAGAATAGGAACTCTTAAAGTATGTTGGTAAATATTTTAGAGCAAGTTTTTCTTCTCAATTGTTTTTTCAAACCTTTGGATGCAGGAGATAGTAAGACTGTTTAAAACTTGGGACAAAATAAAGAAGTTTATTTCTGAGTGTTGGTAAGTCTGAAGCCAATTAGTTCTCTAGTTATACAGCCTTCCATGAAAGACAGAACAGACCAATACTTTAATACCTAATGCAACAACAGAGGTTCTTAAAAAGCTCCAACAAAATTAAAAACTAGCTGGTCACAAGCATATACTGAAAATATATACCTTTTGCATGTCATCTTGAATTGCTCAGAAAGTATGTCAGGGGGACTATCTTCCTTAGTACAGGGAAAACTCCTCACCCATCCCTTTAGTAAGTAAGCATTGCATTTCAGTTATGCTCCAAAAGGGGAAAAAATAGATGTAATTATTCCTAGGCAATGGCATCATTCTTTCTGGATGAAAGGTGAAAAAAAACCTGCTCTGCATTGTTGATCTCTATAAAACAAATATTTGTATTTCTTAAGTTGGTGTTATTTTCATTCACACAGTAATGGTAAAAAACAAATCACAACATCAAATAAAACTTGGTCCTCCAGCAGCAGGAGAAAAAAAAAAAATCTCATAGATATCTTAGCAGATGACAGCTCAACTTAAAGAAACTCAAACAGTGCAACAGAGCACCTTTGCATGTCTTTCTAAAGATACTACTTTCAAAGTTGGTTTTGTGAATTAAAATCTCTAAAGTGGTTATTGAATACCATTTTTATTAATATACACTTCAGATCACTAACAGAATTAACATGTTTTTTTTTTTTTTCCTCAGATAATCAGTAAGACGAAGGGGGATATACTTTAAAAGTTCACATGACAGGATTCTTGAACTGCATTTTGGTATTGGGCTTCTTCATCAAGCTGAAGATTCTAAACAAAATGAAAACATCATCAAAATGGACAAATACTCAAGATGTACCATAGTCCTTAGTTTAATCATTCATTTTCCACATTTTTACACAGGAATTGGAACCTAGAGGAAGACTCTCCATCTTTATGTGTACTAGATGCTTGTTTATGTTGCACGATACCTTTTATTTAACAAAGTACCAAGAGATACATGAGACAGGAGAAGCATCGGATGAGTGGCACAAGGCTTACTAAGCAGAAGGGTCCATCTTGTCTCCCTGGTTCAATTACATTACAGAATAGCCAGGAAAGCTGATTGTGTCATAAAATTCTTACAGCAGGGCTTCCAACCAGCCGTAAAATCCTTCATTAATAAAACCAAAATGTGATCTCTGGACAATAGTAATCATAGATTATTGAGAATATACTGCTTAAAGTGAGAAAGCGAACATGTATCACAAAAGATGGGTGGTTAACCCTGCTATTTTTGAAGAGGTATCTTCCAAGCTGTTAATATGCCAAGGTAACACACCTTTTTAGTGCAATTCTGGCAGCTTCCTCAAATCAGAATTCCAATCACCAGTTCTACATCCTCAAACATGCAAGATGAACTCATGTTGAAGAGCCCAATCCCCTGTATAAGTCTCCGAGCTCTTCACACCTTTGTCACAGATCACTCAACACAAACAACATGCATCATCTTTGCCGCCTTTAACCAGTGAGGCTGCCTATGCCGCAAATACTGTGCTCGTCCCACAAAAAGTACAAGCAGCGTACCCCAAAGCCTGTCAAACTCTATACAAACTACAACACAAACTCTCCAGCTCTCTGATTCCATATGCAGAACTCCACTGGTTGGCTTCACTTATGATCCACCCAGTGACTACATCTGTATCTGTAGCTCTGCATCTACTCCAAGGTCATTTACTCAAAGTGAGCCTGAAAGAAGGCAACCAGAACAATGATTTAATGACACATCTCTTTTTCACATTGCAGCTCCTCTCCCAACGTGCCAGAAGAGAGGCTGCAGCAGCAATACCAGCTAGTCAAGCTGCACTTTGAGTCCTGAGAATTATGATTTAGTCATTTCTGCCATAAAAGGTCAAAAATGTCAATAAAACAGAGTAGCATCTATTTTATTTCCCTCAGAAGCAGCAGTAAACTGTTCTGGAGGAACAAATACTTCAAATTGAGAACACTAAGCTAAAGACTCAAGTCATGAGTTTGAAGCAGAGCTTAACTGTTGACAACACCTATTCTGTTATCAACATGAAGTGCTACCAGTACAGTTTAAGGACAGGCCTACTTCTGAGTTCTGTACAAACATAGCATGTCCAGAGAACAAACAAGTTTGGTACAAATTTTTTATTTGGCATTTTTATTTATAGAAAGAAGTTACCATTTATTCCCCTACACATCAAAGAAGAAAAAGCTTACCACAAATTCTCCGTAGTCAAACCGGTGTCTTAGATTTAGATGGCTAACAAGATTTCTAGTAACCTGGTTAGTATCTGCCCAAGGAAGAGATACACAAATAGGACAGATCTGAATTTGGAGGGGAAGGGGAAAGAGAGAGAATTAAAAAACAAAAGTTACTGGTAATACAGAATGCATTAAAGACATATTCTACAGGAATAACTAGTCTGTTACTCATCCACTACCAAAATACAGTAGAGATGTTCACATAAAATAATAGTTCTAAGTGTTCCTCTACTGTGTAACATTCAAAAATTATATTTCAACTTGCCAAATGTCTTAAGTGTTTCTCTTAGGAGTGGGGGATTATTACATCTGTCTGGCACTTTTTTGTCAATTTCTGTTGTCCAAAATTTAGAAAAGAAAGTGATTACTGCATCCTACTTATTTTTGGCATGTTTTTCATAGAGTTGAGATGATCAAGTAAGCCAAAAGAAAAAATAACACACCCTATACAGATGAAAAGGAAAAAAAACCCACCAAACAGATTTTTCTCTTTCACTCCCTTTGATTACATTAGATCACTTTTCAAGTAACTCTAGGTTTCACATGAAACAATAGTTACATTACAAATGGGATTCTACAGAAACAGTTCAGAATTACTAAATTAAGAAGAGTAAGTGTCAGGCTCAAAAATTGAGTTTGTTTCACATCAAGATAAATGAGACAGCTAAGTCAGAAATGCCTTAGAATAGACAAGAAGCTAGACAAGAAACATTTTCAAATGAAAGTCACTCTAAGTTAAATAATGCATGCATATTGTCTTTCTCAGACCACAGTGCCCTTTACAGATACAGAGTAGCTACTGCACATGTAAAATTGTTCACATAACTATAATGAAAGTAGCTTAAGAAGCATACATAAGCAACTCTACTTACTACAGGAACTATATGATAAAGATGTCTATTATTACAGTGATCCAGCAAACGTTGTCTGGTAAAATTGGCTTCCTGACACAGGGGGCATTTGAAGGTTGGATGTCTACTGTAAACAGAAATACACAGCATTAAACAGAAAACAGAGTTTTAGAAGTAGTATTACAGAAAGCTGAATTCATCTGTTATCTTCTCATTATTTTCCCTTATTTTGATAACAACAAAAAAACCCACCCTCACTGACATAATAGTGGACCTAATGGAGTTCCACTGCTACTTCCAAATTGCAATTGCACATTTATTATTTGTACACCTAAATGCATTCTTCTGAGACTTGGACTCTAGAAAATTCTTTTCTTCCAATTGCATCTGCACCCTGTTCTTACTTACTGGTAACATCTTTTCGTTGAAATCCTTCAGGAAAGTACCGAAAAAAACCAAATTCTAACATACTAATGCAAATGTAAGAAGAAACTATATGGGTTTTTTCATACAACTTGCTGTAGGTCTTTGTGGGATTTTTTTCAAGTTAGTAGAAGCTTACACTATGATTATCTGGATCTATTTTAACAGTAACTATAGAAAAATAAGCAGCCTACCTTGTTTCTCCTTGAAGTATTTGATTATTAACCATCTCGCCATTATCAGATATTGCATCACTTCTGCTACTTTAAATGAAGTAAAGAAAAAAAAAAAACAGACAATGAAAACTGAGATCATTTTACTCCACTATCAAAATTTTTAGAATTTAAAACAGTAACAAGAGGGAAAAAAAAAAAGTCCTGTGAATTTCAAAGCAAAACATGTAATGACATACATTTTAACTCTCACAACTTTTCCTTTGGATCAAGGTATGTCTCAGTATTTAGTTATCATTGTGACCCTTGGTGGAATACTACACAACTTTATAGAGGAGTGATATATAAGACAGACATGTAGTCAACAAGAATGGTAATGGAGATTACAGCCAAGTAGCTCAAAAGGCATTATGAGCTACGTGAATGTAAGCCAGGTAGCACTTTCTAAGTTTTTTTGACTTCAGACTCCGAAGGCAGTCTGTGAAGACTACAGGCATTTAACTGCCATGTGTTTACACAAATGATTTACAACTTTCAACTACAGTAAGATAAATTATCTTATACCATGCACAAAATAAACTATTTCCTAAAGTAAGAGTGACAGACAGGAACATTTCAGAAAGTAAATTTGACCATATATGCACCTCTAGCTAAGCCAGAAGAAACTGCTCAGACATGCTGATCATCCTAAGAACATTAATATTTACAGTCACAGATCTGGTCATAGTACAGTTTTTATATTTCTGTAATATTATAAACACAGGTATTCTACTGTGGCATAGTCAATAAATATCAATATAACAATATCCAGAAACAGAAGGGAGGAGAGGGAGAGGGAAAAAATACCTCAGTTGGAAGGGACTTACAAGGATCATCTAGTCCAACTGCCTGACCAGTTCAGGGCTGGCCGAGTTAAAGGATGTTTAAGAAGGCATTGTCCAAATGCCTCTTAAACACTGACAGGCTTGAGGCATCAACCACCTCTCCAGGAAACTTGTTCCAGTGTTTGACCACCCTCTCGGTAAAGAAATGTTTCCTGATGTCCAGTCTGAACCTCCCTTGGCGCAGCTTTGAACCATTCCCACGCATCCCATTACTGGATCCCAGGAAGATCACCACCTCCCTCTCCACTTCCCCTCCTCAGGAAGCTGCAGAGAGCAATGAGGTCACCCCTCAGCCTCCTTGTCTCCAAACTAGACAAGCCTGAAGTCCTTAGCCGCTCCTCATCGGACATTCCTGCCAGCCCTTTCACCAGCTTTGTGGCCCTCCTCTGGATGCATTCAAGGACCTTCACATCATTCTTGAATTGTGGGGCCCCGCACTGCCCACAGTACTCGAGGTGAGGCTGCACCACCGCTGAATACGGCAGGAAAATCCCCCTCTCTGGTCTCTGGACCGGCTGGTTACACTGTGTTTGGTGCACCCCAGGCTGCAGTTTGCCCTCTTGGCTGCCAGGGCACACTGCTGACTCTTATCGAGCCAGTTGTTGACCAGCACCCCCAGATCCCTTTCTGCAGGGCTGCTCTCCAGCCACTCCTCTCCCCATTTATACTTGTGCCTGGTGTTACTCCATCCTAGGTGCAGAATCCTGAACCTAATGTTCATCCCATTAATCATAGCCCAATGCTCCTATCTGTCTAGATCCTTCCACAAGGCATCCTGTCCCTCAAGAGTCAACAGCACCTTCCAGTTTGGTATCATCAACAAACTTGCTACTGGTGCATTCAATTCCTGCATCCAGATTGTTGATAAATATATTGAACAGAACTGGCCCTAGAGTTGAAACCTGAGAAACACTGCTAGTGACTGGTCACCATTCACTACAGCCCTCTGAGCCCTGCCCTTTAACCAGTTCTTCACCCAGCGCACCATGAACCCGCTCATCCCACAGTTGGACAACTTGTCCAGAAGGATGCTGTGAGGGAAAGTATCAAAAGCCTTACTAAAATCCAGAAACACTACATCCACCACCTTCCCTTCATCCGCTAGACAGGTGATCTTATCATAGAATGATATCAAAATAGTTAAACAGGACTTTCGCTTTGTGAACCCATGTTGACTGTGCCTGATGATTGCATTATTCTTCAAATGCCTTTCAATAGTACTCAGTATAACCTTCTCCATTTTTCCAGGAACATTGCCGCAACTAGTTCTGGTAATAGCTTAAAGTTCTGCTTTCAATATACTGATGGGTTGAAAACCAAACACAGAGAAGTTCAGACTGCTAAAAATAGAAAGCAGATGTCAAAACAAAGTAAATGAAGGACAAGCTATATATAAAGCTCTGTGAAACTAATATGTAAAAAAGGTCTTAAAAAATAAGCAAAAATCTGCAACCAAACCAAATAAATCAGTGAGAAGGTAGGTCTTTAAAAATAAAGTTCTTTAGCTTTACTGCCTGAAAAAAAAAGGTTAAATGGCATTTGTATTTTATAGTATGTAACATACTGGAGTTCCTTATACGTTTCATAAGAGAACAGTTCAAAATAAATTCATTCAGAAAGCAAAAGCTTGCAGAGTAATGTTTTGAAACAGGATACCCACTAAAACAGACTTAGGATAGGGAGGGTGGGCAATAAAAAGAGAAGAAGGCTAAATATTACTAAATCTGTTAAAAAGCAAGCTGCTCAAATGCTGTCAAGGCAATGAAAGCAAGCTAGAAGTACTACACACTTTTTAGAAGAGTCCCTAGAAGACATTCCAAACCATCACATAGAAAGGTTTTCTTCTGTTTGCTAGGTATAAAGAAAACGACCTGGGAAAACTGTCATTCTTTGAAGCACAAAAAAGTGGATAATAATTATTGCAAAAAGAAGGCATGCCCTGGAAAAAAAAATACTTTCCTTGGGGTATGGGGAGAGAAGAAGATGCATTGTTATACATAAAACACCCTGATTACCTGTTCCCTGTTGAATCTTGGGAAATCTGTAAGTTTGGAATAATAGAAGAAACACCATATTCATCCTGATACTTCTTACATGTTTTATAATGCTGTCTCATCCACGAAAATCTAACCTGTAAATGAAATGCCAAATTATTGAAATTTTACTAAACAATCCAGGGATAGAAGGAAGAGATAATTCTGTCAACAGAAAGCAATACATGCAGGAATTATTTAGATATTATATGCACCAGAAACCAGAACTTGTGTCTCCCCTCTGAGCATGAACACTTTCTTCTCCAACAGGAGATCTTCGATTCCTTTTTCCATAGAGCCTCTGTCACTCTGTGAGACTGGAGAACATTCCCATTTCCCAAACCCCAAACAGCCAAGCAACTGAGAGCGTTCCCTCAGGGATGAAAGATGCAAGTAAATGCCATTTAACTGAAATAAAGTCACAGGAACTACATCTCCCACATCCAGGATCAATAACTGATGATCTACGACAGAGAGGGGCCACGAGGATGGGATAAGCACCACCACTTTTTCAGTCTTCTTTGGCCTGCTGTTACCTTGTGCAGAGCAAAATCTTTTTGCATTAGGTGTGTTCTGAGAACACATAACTTTTGAGAAAAAAAAAAAAGGTGAATAAACACCAACTTAATGCTGCCTATACAGCTTAAATGCAAGATAAGACAATGAGTTGCTTAGATTTGTCAGAAGGCAGCTGTGCTGGACATGCCCTAAATCAGAATTTCAGATCCAACAGCCCTGTCAGAAAGTGCTTACAGGTTTAGAGGCTGAACAAGATCACATCTCATGCGCCTGTGCCTGAATTCCATTAAAGTTCTTCTAGGGATCGGTTTTGTTCTTCCTTCCCGTTTACGAGCTCATTATTGTTTCTCTCTCACAGCTTTTCATCATAATGAATCATGTGGAACAAAGCAAGCAGCTCAGCTTTCCACTAGTGCTAATCTTCACATTGGCAGAACTAAGTCCCAAGTGAAACAAAACAAACATGAAGACAACTACCTGGATTTGATGCAATTTCATGTAAACAAAATGTGTGGCTGAAATCCTGCATCCATTTATATCATTACTCATGATTTAAGTGGGGGTCAAGATTTCATCCAATGTTGTGGAAATAATGACCCCTTTACAAAAGGAATGAAGGGAATGTAAACAGACCAATGGGGCATGGGGAAATTACATATGCTTGTATGTACACCAAGAGTAATCGACCCATTTCATTTCATTTTAAATTAAATTCTACAGTCACTGTAAGCACTTCCATTTCCACAGTGAAAGTTTCTGAGGTTTTCCATATATCTGCAACTTTCATTTCCAGTTGTCTAACTTTTCTTTTGCCAGTTTTCTAGTTATATCCAGGGTTTTTTTACATTGTCTGGGGGAAAAACTGGCACTTCACTTAAAAAGTACTTATAGACAGCACGAGATCCTCTCTCAGTTTACGTCTGTTAGGCATACCCAGCAGGCACTGCATGCCTAGTATATGCACAGGCCATACAAAGCTAAGTTCAAACTGCTATAGATTCTTTAGCTCCAAGACAAGAACACCACACAGTAGAAGTGTGTCTGGTCAAAAACAAGAACAATTTATCCAATTTTTTTATAAAGTTTTACTCTACCTGCTTCTCACAGCATCTACAGCCCCCAGAAGCTTTCTTCATACTGTTTTCAACATCTAGAGCCCTTTTGGGGTATGTTCTTTCTTTTTTAGTCACGCTGCCCCGGCAGAGAGGACAATGTGTTCCACTTTCTCTGATAGCTGTCAAGAAGCACTTCCTGCAAAACCTAAATTAAAAAGTTACCACAAACACAGGTTAGCAAAGTGAAGAGAGTTACAATACTTCATCCTTGAAGAGAGCTGGGCGATTCTTAAGAGGAAAAGAATATATATAGGAATAATAGTCTACTGAATATAAATCTTTATAAATATAAGCAAAAAGAAATAATGGTGCTTACAAAGAAGTATATGGAAATCAGGGGAACTTGGCAATGCAATTTAGGTAAAGATCATACTATTTATTGTCTAGTATTCCTGAGCTGTACACCAGTTTGATCATTAATGAGACATTAAATGGTGCAGTAGGCACGTGATACTGGAAAATCTTATCAGAGTAACTCCTGTTTATTGTCCTGACGCAAAGCCAAAAATACTGCAAAGCGTTATTTAGCATGTGTTTCCAAAAAACTCAGTTCATCAGTTTTGCAGTTCTCTCACTTTTCTTTTCCTCGTGTATCGACTGCCAAATCTAATTTCGCTTTCTTTGCAATGAAGCGATCCTCTGAAAAACGCAGAATAGATGAACTGACAAGAGAGAACACCTAAGCTACGTCCTTGTTTGAAAACGAACAGGAAACTATAAAGTTAAAAACGCGGGTAAGGTTAGACGTGTAAGATGTTTCCGTCGGCTGGGAAACCCGGC